AAAAAAAAAAAAAAAAAAAAAAAAAAAAAAAAAAAAAAAAAAAAAAAAAAAAAAAAAAAAAAGTTAGGCTGGTGGTGTTTCCAATTTCCATTTACGACTAAACCCTAAACCCTAGAAGGTGCAGTGGTTTAAGTTCGTTTCTAGAGCCTTCTTCTCTCCCCATTATTAGGCCACCCATTCGATCGCTGCAATTCATCGCCGTTCTCTTCTTTACGCTCCCTTGATCTTCCTCTCTTTGTTCCCATATCCTTTTCTGGGTCTCAGCGGACGTCTACAATGCACCGCTTCGCTTCAGGCCTCGCTTCCAAAGCTCGGTATGTTTCATGTCCTTTTAGTTGCCAAGCTTGGGATTCAATTTCTATTCATATCATTTGTTCGTGTGGTTTGTAATATATTCTCATATGAAAGAGTGGCAGATTTGGGTTAGTGTTCTTTTTGGTCACTGAGATAGTGGGTCTTTTAAAAAGGGTCATTGATGTAGTTTGACAAACAAAAAATGTTCATTTGATTGGTTTGTTTCGTTTTTTTCAGCCTTGCTAGGAAGGGTGCCAATCAGGTGAGTTTTTGTTCTGTTTCTAATACTTTTGATGTTTTTATCTTTGTTGATAATTTCCATGAATGGAGATCATTTAGTGTCTAATATTCCCTTAATCACTCTTGTGTTTTTGTGTTTCATGTGTTTGGTCTTCTAGATTGCTAGTAGGTCGAGCTGGAGCAGAAACTATGCCGCTAAAGACGTTAAATTTGGGGTGGAGGCTCGAGGACTTATGCTTAAGGGTGTTGAGGATCTTGCTGATGCCGTTAAAGTCACAATGGGTCCTAAGGTACTGTTATTATCCTATGCTTCATGAAGAGTACAGGCAGATTTCCATTGATGCAATCCACTCTCATCACTCTTTTAATCTCTGTGCTATAGTGCCTTGCCTTCGGTTGATTGATGTAGGTTCTGTCATGTTGCTGTTGCAGGGGCGCAATGTGGTGATTGAACAGAGTTATGGGGCTCCCAAAGTTACAAAAGATGGTGTGACTGTTGCGAAGAGTATCGAGTTTAAAGATAAGGTTAAAAATGTTGGTGCCAGTCTTGTGAAGCAGGTTGCTAATGCAACAAATGATGTAGCTGGTGATGGTAAGCCTCTGTTATAGATTACCACTAAAAGAGTGACTATGCTGTCGTTTACCATGTATTCAGTACTTAATGGTTGGTTTTCCATCATCTCCTTGAATATTTAATGATTGAAAGGAAATCAACTTGACCTCTAAAGTGCACAATTGTATTGCCACTGCCATATACACTAAATTAAAGTGAAATTGAGGACTTTTGGGGCTTGCAGGGACCACCTGTGCTACTATTCTTACAAGAGCAATATTTACGGAGGGCTGCAAGTCCGTTGCTGCTGGAATGAATGCCATGGATCTAAGACGTGGTATCTCCATGGCAGTCGATTCTGTTGTAACAAACTTGAAGAGCAGAGCACGAATGATAAGCACATCAGAAGAGATAGCCCAGGTTTGTTCTTACTTTCCATTAGGATCACTTGGACTTATTCCTTGATGGCCTTGACATGACTTTATATTGAAGGATCATTCGTGCAATTTGATTGTATTTTCATAGGTCGGAACAATATCTGCCAACGGAGAAAGAGAAATTGGTGAGTTGATTGCCAAGGCCATGGAGAAAGTTGGCAAGGAGGGCGTGATCACCATCTCGGTAAATTTACCTATATATTTATATGATCTCAGTATGTTAATGGGTAGTGCCCGCCCTTTTCGTTCACCTGTACTTGTGGTCAATTTAATGGCTGAAATAACCTTTTGGTGCTTGATAGAATTTGATTCTAGACCCTTTCCCACACTCATCTCAGAAATAATAGTTCTTTATCATCTAGGAAGTCGATAGAACTTTATGAACTAGTTATAGTTTTAACTATGGATTTGCATACAAATCAAAGCAAGATATAGTGAAAACAAAGAAATTTATAATCAATTCTTTAAACCCTTTCAATTAGTATCACTGCCTTTTGTTTAGTCTACATGTGGCATTATTTTGTAATTTTTTTTTGTCACGATCCCTTTCCTTTGGTGCTTACTTCGAGTCTCTTCAATTTTCTGCAGGATGGGAAGACATTGTTTAATGAGTTGGAAGTTGTTGAAGGGATGAAGTTAGATAGGGGATACATTTCTCCTTACTTCATTACTAACCAAAAGAACCAGAAATGTGTATGCAATTTTTTTTAATATCTTTCCCCCAATACTCTAATTATGAGCCTGATCATCAATGTATCCTGACTTCGTTTACTGCATTGGTTAACATGGCAGGAATTGGATGATCCTCTTATTCTAATCCATGAAAAGAAAATCTCAAGCATTAATTCTGTGGTGAAAGTTTTAGAGTTGGCTCTGAAGGTAGGACACCTTTTGATGGCTGACAGTTCTTATTTGCTTTTAATTGCAAATAGACGATAAGTATTGTATTTTTCTTTAATTTTTTCAGAGGCAAAGGCCCCTTCTTATCGTTTCTGAAGATGTCGAAAGTGATGCACTAGCCACTCTTATCTTGAATAAGCTCCGTGCTGGAATTAAGGTTTGACCCTCATTCTTTCAACAATTGAAATTATGGAATGAAGTAACTTAATTTGTTTTGTTCCTTGCCTAATTGCTTACTGTTTCTGCAGGTCTGTGCCATTAAAGCACCAGGTTTTGGTGAAAATAGGAAGGCTGGACTGCACGACCTTGCAGTTCTCACGGGTGGTCAGGTAAGTCTTTTATTTGTAACTGCATCATTCCTTTTGTATAATATTCTTTTCTATGATTTCTGAGAGTCGCATGCATGTTCTTTTTGGCAGCTCATTACTGAAGAGCTTGGAATGAATCTTGAAAAAGTTGATCTGGATATGCTTGGCTCTTGCAAGAAGGTATGATATATCAAATAGTTCTATGATGGTATACATGTCATGATATAGCATAATTTTCCTTGTCTACACCTCCCTAAGTTTTCTGCTGCCAGTTGGAATTCTCTATTAATTTAGGTTGGTATTACAGATCACAATTTCAAAGGACGATACAGTAATTCTAGATGGCGCTGGTGACAAGAAGTCTATCGAGGAAAGATGTGAACAGGTAGGTTTGTAGCATTTAGAAACACTATATGGTATAAGTGATTAACTTTCATTGTATTATAAAAGGTAATCACTATCGTGTTCTTGGTCTTTTGCAATTTACAGATAAGGTCAGCTATTGAACTGAGCACTTCTGATTATGACAAGGAGAAGTTGCAGGAAAGATTAGCGAAGCTCTCTGGTGGTGTAGCTGTATTGAAGGTCTGCCCCTTCCTCTTTGACTTTGAATTTGTTTTGTACTGACCGGAGAGATGGCTCGAAGCCTCATGTGTAAAACAAATATTTCCCAACTTAAAGGCCAATCGTTCTACAAATACTTATGCAGATTGGAGGAGCAAGTGAGGCAGAAGTAGGTGAGAAGAAGGATAGAGTCACTGATGCCTTGAATGCCACAAAAGCAGCTGTTGAAGAAGGAATTGTACCAGGTAAGTTATTTTCCGTGTGCTAATTATAATTTTACATATTGCATCTGAAGGACACTGACTGAATGACTGCATCCACAGGTGGTGGTGTTGCTCTTTTGTATGCATCGAAAGAACTAGATAAACTTTCAACTGCTAACTTCGATCAGAAAATTGGTGTCCAAATTATTCAGAATGCTCTAAAGGTCATAATCTCATTCTCAAACATGATTGTTTACTCACCGATGTTAACGCTGATATTTAGTTACGTATGTTTGTAAGAAGCTGCTCTCACTCCTGTATATAATATTCTATTCAGACACCCGTACACACAATCGCATCGAATGCGGGAGTTGAGGGGGCTGTCGTGGTTGGGAAGCTGTTGGAGCAGGACAACCCTGATCTTGGTTACGATGCTGCAAAAGGTTAGTTCTACATATATTTCCTGCCAGAGAAAGGAAGAGAGAAATAGTGACAATGTATTCCATTTCTGGCTAATTCAAATATGAATTTGACATGCACGACCAGGTGAATATGTGGATATGATCAAAGCTGGCATCATTGATCCTCTTAAAGTAATTAGAACTGCACTAGTTGATGCCGCTAGGTAAGCCGAAGGAACGATGCTTTCATTAATGTTCTATGACTAATCTATTCTTCGAGACTAAGTTTTTATCTTTTCGAATATAGCGTTTCCTCTTTGATGACAACTACGGAAGCCATCGTAGTCGAACTCCCCAAGGATGAAAAGGAAGTTCCAGCAATGGGTGGCGGCATGGGAGGAATGGATTACTAATAGCATCAAGACAGTATTTTGATGAATCAAATCAACTTTACCCGTGCTTGCTTCCCAGAGCGTGACATTTCACAAACCTTAGAAGACGTATTCTTGTTTGTTTCATAATAGTCTTGACTTAATTTGGTCAAGGAAAGCTTCCTTTCATGTTCAGGAGGGTAGGCATAGAGACTAGGGAGAGTTGTCATTCCATGTTGCGGAACTGTAGTCTTTTTCATTGTTTTCATCAAGAAATATATATATTTTTCCCTCGTGACCTGCATAAGGGCCATAGCCTTGCAACTCCATTTTATCTGTCAAGTTTATGCGTCTTCATCAATAAATTTTGGGACTTTAGTTGGTGAATTCTTGGGTTACTTCTTTTGAATGTCTTTTGTTTTCTGGGTGATTTGGATTTAATGAGTCAATTGAGAGGGGAGAACGAATGGCTTAGGAATCGATTGGTTCTTAGCAGACTCATGGAGCTGCGGTTTGAATTATCGTAGAGATGCTGGAAGGCGATGAAAGTATAGTCTTGCAGTGCATTTACTCCCATTACGAGTAAATATGGTCTTCTACATTAAATTACGAAAAAGTAGTCATTAATCTATCACACATTTTATATGTTCTTTGACAATTTCTGTCGTCCAGGCAGCATGTTGACTGTTGAGAGATAAGAGGATGTTTCGAGTCGAAAAGGGAAAAAGAATGTTGCGAAAACAACAATAAATTTAACAAGAAACTGTGTTGATTGTGTTCACTACCAAAATCTTCCATTAAACTTAATAATTTAGCAACAATTACCCATCAAAATTCACTCATCTAACTACTCGAAGATGAATGGGACTGTCGATCAATGTCGTTCGTACCGGGAATTTCGTTTCCATTTTCTCACGCGACTCTAGTTTCTTGGTAAGAAGTTCCTCTGAAGTGTAAGATTATGAAGAAGACATTTTTATCTGAATTTGTCGGTGAACATGAACAAGAAACTCGATGTAGGAAGGGCCATGGGAACTTTTATCTTCAATCATATTCGAAAAGAATAGCATCCCTGAAGAAGAGAAAGCCAGAAGAATACAATCAGCTCACAATACAGAATGAAGCAAAACTAAAAGTAACGCTTCGATACTCGGTTATTGTTGAGTTTGACAAAATTGCAGTTGAAAAGAATAATAAATACTCGGTTACTGTCGAGTTTGAAAATGGAAAATGATCTTTTTGGGTGTCATTTCTTCAGGTAATGGAAGACAAAAAATACAAAATTGGGTACTACTTCTTTGTAATCTTCTAACAACTAGATAAGAATTGGTATAAAACTGACCTGACTGGTCTCCTTTCTTGCACAACCTCAAGCTGCAAAAAAGAGGGGGGAAATTAATACACAACCAAAAGAAGTAGATGAAAAAGGAAATTCAAGCATCTATATAACTTAATATGTAGAGGAGATAGTATCGTATTTCGGAGAGAGGAACGAATCCCCCTTGGTATTTTCATTTCCAACCCGAGCCGGCTCTCTATGGAACGAATCCCCCATGGCCTTTTCATTTTTTGGAACACTGGACCTGGCATCCTTGCTGAGTGTCCAATACAACTTTTATGAACGTCATTCACAACTCGGGTTGTTTAGAGGCAGATTTAACAGTCATTCACAACTCGGCTCTCTATGGGTAAGAATTCATTCCAACAGAATGCAAGTTGCGGCAACTCTTTAGAGGCAGATTTAACAATTGGGTTGTTGAACGTCATTCACAACTCGGGTTGTTTAACAACCGACTGCCTTTATCACTCACAGCATATACTCATCCACATCTAAATCCCTACAAATGCTGCTCTATGAAAGCTCATTGGAGGACTTGGGTCACCTATTCTTGCATTGTCTAGTGTCTCAAACGTATAACATATTCATGAAGGTAGCAAAGGGAAGATCAGAGCCAACTTGCTTAACAAATAAACGGTTGGATCTTTAGGGACAAAACTATCGGTGTCGACTGTAGCTAGAGGGTCACAGATTTCTCTGCATCTTCTTTGTGTCTTCTCTGGTGCAGAGCTTTGTAACGTTCCTCACCCTTAGATTTTAAGAGATAGGACTCTCATATCCATAATCTATCATTATGGTTGGATACTCATTGTGGTAAAATTTATTTTTTATCACTCCCCTTTCCCAACATACAAACACTACTACTAAAAAAACAATAATAATAATAATTTAAAATGAGTCTTACCGTAGGTAGGAACATCTTTGACGTCGTATCTCATTCATCAAATCATTGAGCTTCTTAGACAGAGGATTGTCATACTGCTGCAATACAAACTGAGCGTACAACAGTATTAGTGAAAATTAGATTCCATCAAGTATATGAATCCAATTAATACCACAACCATGATACATAAATAAAAAAAGCAAGACAGTAGTTTTGTCCTCCTTCAATCATCTTCTCTTTAGAATCAATGGCCCAATGGTATTATTTTCCTTCATCTACGTTCTTTTGTCTAAAATCAAATGGATTTATGTTCTGCGTGATCTCTCTTGTGTGTAAGAGCTCGTACCCTTTGAACATTAATCTTTTCGATTTGCCCCTTGTATAGGTTGAAGCTATGGAGCTGACCTTATTATTAGAGAAAGAAAGGATGAAGGGTTTTTTCGGCTTTCGCTTCTTTTTTTTTTTTTTTTGAAACAGAAAGGTAGGGGCAGAGGCTCTAAAGGCTTTCCAACTAGCTTCAATTAGGTAATGGCGCAGATGGATGGATTACTTTGCAGGATGGGAAGATGAAAATTGTAAAGGTCTTCGCACCACACGAAGTTCAAATGAAAATTTTCGTTACTGGTTCAAAAAAATAAAAACCCTTTTGGAAAAGTTTTAAGTAATTTTGTTTCAATGGGGCTTTCCTCCATCTCTTGATAACTCCATTTGCTCATTGAAATTATAGATAGTAAAGATACCTGAGCAGGAATTTCATCAACCGAGGAAATGCCAAATAACTGCTGCAACAGGTCTCTATCAACCAAGTTCCCAATATATACTAAACAATCTTCACCATTCTCAAGAAGATAAATTCCCTCGTCACTCACGTGCTCACTCGAAAGAGGAATTGGAGTACCCGGAGTCGAATCGCCATCCTGCCAATAAGAGGAATTAATACCAACTGAGAATAATGCATCACTGAGAAAGAAAACGAGCAAGATAAAATGACAAAGTCATACCTCTGTAAGGTTATGTATAGACAACATTCTAGGATATACCAAAGGTACAGCCAGAGGAATTGGAAGGGACGAAACGTGGTTGACCCAAAAAGATCGATCATCGATCCTTCCATCAGTTCTCAAACCAGTACTTTTTGTTAATGCTGAAAGAAGCCAATAGAATGATATCACTGACCCTCAACCATGTACCAAACTTTATCAACACAACTATGCTTATACTTTATTCTTGTATTACTAACATGTAATTGAGTTCACTATATTGGATCAATTTCATTAAATATCTTACTTAAATTCCATATTTTCCAATTTCCATAGGTGATCCAAAGATCATAAACTACTAACTCTCTATAAAGATGCTTCCAGCGTTCGCCGTAACAGAGTTCAGAATTCATAGCGCAAAAAAAAAATATTGCTCCTAAAGAACTAATTGGGAGAAATGGATTTCAAAGCAAAGAAATTTCAGATACATGGGTAAGAAAATTTAGATAGGTTTTGAAATATATAAAAAACACACCAATGGTATAGAGTGGCAGTAGCTTTAGTGCCTCCGGAAGAATGAGCTGTCCAGATGATGATACTGTTGCACAATACTTGCGATATGAAAGCAAAACATTGACACACAGATTTGTCATACGCTCCCGGATTTGCAATACTGGGGATGAAGGAACTTCAGCGGCCGCTACAAAAATCAGATAAAGAACATAATAAGACTAATTAATTACAGCATTAAAATTGAAACAAATATTAAGAGATTAATAGTATGTTCATAGCATATCTTAGACATCATCGGACTACAATCAAATCAACTAGAATGCAGCTCTCAATGTAAACATTAGAATAATGACAATTAAGTAACGTTGTTTCTTACCCCTGAAAAGAAAAATTATGATGTAATCTGCAAAAGAAAATATATAACCACAAAGTGAAGATACCTTGCTTGAGAAAACATGCGAACTGAGAGTCCAAGTCAGCTGATCGGAAGAGGTTATTCAGCATACTAGTGCAAGGTAGAGATAAAGTGGAGACACGAATTCTCCGCTGACCAAATACTGTAGTGTAGAGTAGTGCACACTACAATAGAAGAAGAATATAAACGAATGTAAAACAAGTCATAGATATAAATCTTAACAAGCTGTTTCAGTTTGATGGCAGAATAATGGTGCAAAAATATGAATCAAGTGGCAAAGACAGCCAGCATCTGAACTATAATTGCAGTCTGGTTTAACCCTATCCCTCGGGAGGCACATGTTTCCAACCAAGGACGGCATCACAAAGTACAGACAGACCGTGAATTTCTAAGAATGACTCATGCATTAAATGAGTGTAAAGTTTTGCATATAATGAGAAGAATTTTAACAAACAAGATAGACCAAGAAGAATCAATCTGTTCTTGTCATACCAAGTAAGCCATTGAGACTGAAGTTACCTGGAAAGCACATTCTGAGCCATCTTGTAACTTGTCATCATGTTTTAAAGTTACCATTATAGTCTTGTCACAATCAATCTGTAACGAAAAGAACCATGGTGAGACAACAACCATAAACCCACAATTATACAAGCAACAAAGAAACAAAAGCGTTATGCTAATATACAACAACGATAAAAGAGTAAGGCATGGCAAAAATCAGAGCACACAAAAGCCAATGCTAATGAAACCAATTTAATGAAAGAGAAAAGGGAAAAGGCACAGGTACTAAATAAACACGAGCATCAAAAGTTGACCCTGCCATTTAAGAAACAAAGAAATGAAATTTGCAATAATGTCGAGAATAAATTATACCCCAGGCAAGTCAACATCTGTAGGGATCCGTTTGCAAAAATTCCCATGGTACTCTTGTACTTGAATTCCCTGGAAAAGGAAAAAATTATAACTGATTTCACAGAAGAAAGAAAATGAAAGCCACCAAATCATTTTTCGTTAACAAAAATGAAATCCATAAAAAAATAATCACCTGGCTGCATCTAACACGCATCACAGCCTCAAAACCTTGAGGCCTTGTGATATTCCATCTAAGATCATTATAGAGCTTGGCTGGATCAGAAAGAACCGAGAAGGGGTAATAATAATAAACCTGTAACACAGTAAATAACACATTAAGTAAGAGAGACGGTTAAAAGGAGAATTCCGCATAGGTTTAGGAAGCTTAAATATACTGCTGAAGAGGGAGATCGTAAAAATCAATAACCAAATGCATTTTTTGGTCTGTTCAATACTGAAGTTACAGATCTCAACCAGAAATATGATACTACTTTAATTGATTACTAAAAAAAGTAGCATAATTAGAATGCCAAAGACATTAAGAAATATAAAGACTAAAAGGAATTTCAGCCTGTTAAATGGGAAGCTGTTCTGATTTAGCATTTGTTGGATAGTTAAATGAAAATAAGAAAGAGACTAACAGCCGGATGTGTAAAGACCAACAACCACACCATCGCAAGAATACATTAGGTGCCTCATTAGCAGAAAAGTACAGACTTATATTTCAAAAAAAAAAAAAGTTCAAATGTATCTCTGGAGAATTACCAAAAATCAAATACTCTTACCTGCCCCCCAGTAGTCCTTGCAATGTCAGAAATAGAAGCAATATCAACATAATTCTGGGTAGTGAGAAACACATCAACACAGACCTAGAACATGCAGACAAGAATAGTTCAGAAAACTCTGACCAGTGTCAGCCGTTAATCCTGTCGTTTATCACTGCAACACAACATGAAAGATCACTTTCACCTGATACTCAGCCAGTTCAATTGCCATTGTTTTGTAAGTCATGTCAGCTGGCTGAAGTAATTTATGAGCCTCCTGAAGAAATAAAGTTTCATGAAAATGACACCACGCGATTTTCAATTAGTCGTGAAATGATGAACTTTATACTTTTACAGTGAACAATAGTATACTAATGCAAACTGGCCAACAAGTGGGGGTAAATAACGTAGGGTAGGGTTAATCATTGGTTGCAGCCTTTATGAAATTGGAAAGGATGGTGTACAATGCAATGATGATATTGATAAAACAAAAATTGGCTCCATTGCTAAGCAGAAAACCTCAATTCATAATTAGAAATCATAAATTTCTATATGTTGCGGGCCATCTTTATATAATTTTTGCTCGGTGAAGAGTCTTATAGGCTTAAGAAATCAGGATGAGAAGAGAGTTTTCCTCCCGGGAATATAGTTTTATCTATTTCAACTAACAGTGAAGGATCCTCAAACCCAGATCCCAATAGAACATTTATACAACTGGTTACTTTCCTTCAACCTGATATTATTATGCTCCTAATTTTAAATGCAATAACAATGGCAACATAATCTTCGTAAAAGAAACAAAAATAGCACAAAAGTTCAGAAAAATACCTTGTCCCCAGAAGAAATATTTGTTCTTCCTTCAGCCTCCCTGGAAGAAAGTGCTCCAATGCCAATTGATGGCAAGACTGTATTTTATCAAAAGTAACTAATTAGGTTACGAAAATAATCTTTTCAACATAACAATTAGGTGGTGGTAAAGAAGATGAAATGCAGTCGTAATGAAATAAGAGCTGCTTTAGGCAGATTCGAACATAATAACACTGTAAATAGATTAATTCATTTGAAATATTATGCAGCTCAGCTAAATGAAATAGGTAATTGGTGAACATGTGGCAAGAGAAAAAGAAGCCTCTTTCATTACGTGCAAGAATTTGTGAAATATATAAGAATTCATGCCCCTGTACAATCTTCAAACAATCCGGACATTTAGACCAAATTAATAAGAAAAAAAAAAAAAAAAACAGTAGAACATACATGTTCTTTATTTTTCTTCACGTTCCAATACCCTAATTTATGTACTACATTTGCTTTTTTCTTCATTTTATCTAATGCACCTGTTTTTTCGCCCTCCATATGATTCAATCCCCATGCACCTCCTCTTTGCAATTGTTTTTCTCCCTTGCACGTGTACATAGATAAGACGGTTCTTAAGGCCCCTCCACTTTACTTCCCGGCTTTGGTAAACACCAACACCCCATTCTCACCATCTCACTCACCCTATCCACTTTTCTTTCACCAGCCCTACCCTATACCAATCCCCATTTTGTTACAAGCAACTCTTTTACAGTTCGAGTGGCTTTTCCCCAACTTATATTTTACTCAAATGCTTTAATAGGAGAGGTTTTTGCTTCATCATATTATTTAATAGTGTGTTATCTACCCTTTTTCCTGTTCTTTTTTTTTTTTTTTTAAATAAGAACTGATAGGTATCTCTTTTTCTACAAGGGGAGAAAAAGTTTAGAGATTATACCTTCTCTCTCAAACATCACAAACTTACTTGAATAGAACAACCTACCCAAACTACCACAATATATTTCAAGGAAAGATATGCACATACCCCTACAAACTCCCCATTCAAACTTTCATACATAATAACCATGATCACCATTTCGGATTAAATTCTCATTTTTACCCTTCTTGGAATAAACCTTTGTGATTGGAAGTCTAACAAAAACTTGAGAATGTATTAATAAAGCATTTAATGATGTATTGTCATCTAATGGTTGCATCCTTTTTCACCTTGTGTCAATTTAATGTAGATAGAAATACAAAAATACTAACATGTTGAGATCCAACATCATATTTTACATGTCATTCAAGTGTCTATTGTTCAACTCGCTCATGACACTCCTACCCAAGGTAACATGTCCATGCCACCGGCACGCAAATAATAGTAAGAATTTTCAAGTCATATTTCTTGCCAAAGAAAACAATAGCAAGAAACAAGAGACAAACAGCAATAAATCCTCGATAAATTATGAACTTGCCTGACTGGAATACCAAGATTTTGCCTCCAGTATTTTTCATTGCCAAGAAAGCTGCCTAAAAATAGGTCAAGAAAACTGTAGTCAGAATAAACAGTAAAAATTTATTTAGAAGTGAGAAACGTTCTATTTATAGACCTAGAAAGCAAAATTCTGAGTTGCATGGAAAAAAGCATTACAAGAAGTAGAAACAAACTCTAGCTTTTGACTAGTAAACAGACTGGAGTATCAGTCTAGTCTATATGATGGGTGAACCTGAGCCAATATTTTTAACAGAACTGAATATTGAGAAGTTGAGTGATCAGCACACACATCAACTCATCAAATAATCTGTTAAAATAGCAATTAAATAAACACAAAACTGTCTTTCCTTTTATGGAATTGTTTCATCATTGAGATTCTAAAGCTTTCTTGTTTATATTTGTTCTTTTTCAAACAGAATATTCATTTATTACTAACAAGTGGAAGGTCTAACTGTAAGGCTTTTGTATAGGTGGTTTAGGGTTTTTTTTTTTTTTTTTTTTTTTTTT